ATACACCATCTAGAGTCTAGATCTAGATCTATACTAGTCTACAATGCAAAGCATTCAGCTACAATAAACCACCACAGCCATCTGATCATTACCTTAGGTTCTGAATTCAGATCAACAAGGCACAGACAACACGTTCGCAACTGTATGCAGTTTCGCTTTCGAATCAGAGACAACGCGGCTTCCGCTTGGCAAATGTTTATGTTTTTTCTATTTCTGAGCACAGACGAGGGGTGGTGTGCAATCAACCAGAGAGACAGAGAGACAGAGAGACAGAGAGACAGAGAGAAAGAGAGACAGAGGGAAGAAGAGAAAGAGAGAGTGAGAGACAGAGAGACAAAGAGGGAAGAAAAGAAAGAGAGAGAGAGAGAGGGTGACAGAGAGAAAGAGAGAGACAGAGAGACAGAGAGAGATAGAGACCGAGAGAGACAAAGAGAGAGAGGCAGAGAGAGACAGAGGGAAGAAGAGAAAGAGAGAGAGAGACAATAAGACAAAGAGGGAAGAAAAGAAAGAGAGAGGGGGGGAGAAAGAAAAAGAAACAAAGAGAGAATGAGTGGGGAAATGAGAGAAAGAGAGAGAGAGAGAGAGAGAGAGAGAGAGAGAGAGAGAGAGAGAGAGAGAGGGGGGGGAGGGAGAGTGAGTTGGCGGGGATTAAGGAGGTATGACAAGACAACGACTTAATGTGCCTCTCACTTTCAAACGATGTTGGTGACTGAAACAAATTACGCACAATGTGAGCCTTTTTGTATTAGCGCAGAACTCCGGGACACACGGAAGATTTAGATCTAGACAAAGAACTAAGAAGGAGAGGCAAGCCTAGGCTTAGTCCGAGGTCTAGATCCAGATCTAGATGTAGTCTCTCTCCTTCAGGAGACTCTGTAAGTCTTGTTTGGTTCTACGCGATACATTATCTAGATCTAGAGCTATACTACACTGACCAGCTTTAAACTACGATAAAATACAACAGCTATCTAATCATTACCTTATGTTCTGAATCCAGATCAAGGCCCAGATCTACAACACGTTCCCCAGAGATATCCAGTTTCGCTTTCGCGCCACAGGCACGATGGCTGCCGAGGTCAACTTCAGCTTCCGATTTTTGTTTTTAATTTCTGTGCACAAAAGAGAGGTGGTAAGCAACAAACCTAACAAAACCGATAAAAGCCGTAACTGGACGCGACAGAGAAAGTAAGAGATAGATCTACAATATATACAGAGAGAGAGAGAGAGAGAGAGAGAGAGAGAGAGAGAGAGAGAGAGAGAGA